CAGGAGGCAAATCTGCGAGAGAGGGGCTACAGCTTCACTGCTGTCTATTATGGGGTGCCAGCACCCCAAAACCCAGCTCCCTTGGTGCAGATACACGTGTCTGTCTTGAGATACAGCTGCAGCTTTGCCACTGAGCAGCTGTACAGTCTTTTTCTTTTTTGTGGTCTGGCCACTAGAGAGAGCTATGGTATAAAACGTGCTACTCTCCAGAGTCCTGGGCCCAGGATACACCACTTACATCTATTACTGGGGCCAAAAAATTCACTTAAAAGGAAAATAAGGCATTTTTCCACCTTCATTGTTGTGTTTAGGTTTTTTTTCCAAGATGATTAAAATTTATCTTTATTAATCCACGCTTATGTTTAAATCTTTGTTTTTCATTTGCTCTTCATTTCTCAAGGGACAGCTGGGTTGGAAGGAGAAGGGGTAAGCAAACTGAAAAGTATTTCTCCCATCCCTTGCCAAGAATATTTGGGGGAAAAAGATTTCTCACCAGAAGGGACTGGTGAGAATACCACAGCTGGCACCAAAACTGAGTTAAGCTCACTCATGTAAGAAATGTGAAGAAGATAATATACCCAGTAAGCACTGGGTAGAGGTATCAAAGCACTTCTATGGGAGCTGGGGGCCTTTTTTCATAGGGCAGACATATCCACGTTAGCTGTGATGAAGTTTCACCTGAATGAAAAGCAGTTTAGTGTGACACAATATTTGAACATGTTTGCCTTGCTGACAGGCTGGGTTGCATTTTTCCAGCCCTGAGCCATGTTCACACAGCTGAGCTGCTTTGAGGACAAGTTCAAAATCTGCACAGAGCAATGCTTTGAGCACATTCAGGTCACAAGCTGAGCACTGCTAACTTCAGTCTTTGTGCTATGTGGTACCCAGATAATAAGATTTAAGGAATAAGCCCCCTCTGATGCTCCCCATCCTGCCTGGGTTTGTACTGCTGTCGAGGTTTGGACTTGGCCAAAGCCAGTAGATCTGTCTTCAAAATATCCCAGTAAACAACTAAAATAGGTGATTATTTGTATCTAAATTATTTGTTGTTTTATTTTTGCAAGAATTTCCTCTGATTTTTACATTTAGAAGCTCATTTTAAGTATTTTCTGTTCAAGATTCAGGTAGGTTGAACTGGGTCACAGGGTGCCCAGATGGTGAAATCTTCCCTCTGGGGGAAGATTTTCTCTCATTCTCTCCCAGGGAATACATGCTCTATTTGCACACCTACAATTCAGCAAAGTGGAATAATGTTTAAAGCAAACAAAAATTTTTCAGACAAGCAGAAAGCGACTGGTCCTGGAGTCCTGTCAAGCAGCACATACTGATTTCAAGCAGATGTCTTCCTAAAACCAGCTACCAGTATGTCCCACAGAGAAGCAAAGCCATCCCTTCTTGACCTACCTGCTTCTGACGGGAGCCGTTGCTGTCAGCCAGGACCCACGAGGGCACTGGCCTCTTCCCAGCTAAAAGTGCAGGAGACCAGGAGCAGTGGGACTTGGAGGGATCATCAGCTTTGGTAAGCTGTTTCTGCATCCTTAGAGAGGAGGCAAGCTGGCATTAACTTGCACCTTTGCACAGCTGAATTAACTGCTGGCATCAGGGAGCTGGCTTAGGCTCCCAGAGGAGCAAGCACCAGGGGGACCTGGTCTTCTTTTGTTACTACTGGAACATTACAGTTCTCCCCAGCAAACAGAGACCTGCCCATCCCAGCTGCCTGTGCTGCTCTTGATCACTTTTATCCCATGGGGATGTCAACAGGACACAGCTGCTGTCAGGTCTGCACTCATGGCCATACTTGGAGCAGCTCTGGGTCCTCTGCCTCAGGTGCTGCAACAATGCATCCTCTTCTCCTGCGGGATACTCTGCAATGCCTTTCTCAGGGTCCCTGTGGCAACAGGGCTACTCCTGTCTGTGCACAGGACTTGCTTCCTGCTTTTCCAATAGGATGAGCTGGCTGGGTTTGCTAGCAGACTAGAAAGTTCACTGACAAACCCTTGCTCTTGATGCCTCCCTTTGACTTTGGAGAGGAGACTGCAAGCAACCTCTTCTTCCAGACCTGCCTGCACACTTTGCGGTAGGGATGCGTGGACGTGCACCCTCAAGCTGGCCTTCAGAGGTTCATCAGTTGTAATTAACAAGTAAATAAAAATACACAAGTGAAGTGCTGAGGTGGGGTCTGTGTCCCCCTTGACAGGCTGAGCACAGCTTCTTGGGACAGTGTGCAGTGTGGCAGCTGGTAGCCAGTGGTGGGAATAAACCTTGTGTAGCCGGACATCTCATCCTCTCCCCAAACACCACCTTCCCCTCCAACTGTTGCATCAGTAACTGTTAAAACTACAAATCAGCCTTTTCCCAGCCTCACTGGGACAAAGTTCACACTCCCCAAGTACCCTCTGGTGACATGCACATGCATGGCCATGTCATCATCCTCCAGACACTGCCTGTACCTGGGGAGGATGAAGCAGGGAGGAAGGCAGCAGTGTGGAGCACACTGGATAAATGCCTGTCCCAGCTCCATGCTCAGCCCAGAAGAGGGGTTGCTGATGTGCTTCTGCACTGCTCATCCGAGCATAAACCCTATTAGAGAGACAAGTGTGTGTTCCTCTAGCTCATAAATAGACGTTGAATATGTCAACCGTGTTAATAAAAATTATACAGCAACCAAATCTCAAATATCCAGGAAGAAAATTGTCCTGTGATGTGGCATTATGCTGCTTATACATAAATAGAAATCACGTGGTGGTCTGGGAGCCCCAGCACCAGCTAGGGGCTAGTTACGTCTGTGTTTGAAGCCTGGCCTCAAGGCCATGACATGAGGCCCCGAGGTGGAGTTAGGATGTCCGTCTGGGTGCAAAGGGCAGGAGAGGGCAGCTACTACTAAGGCAAAAGCAGTGCCAGGGGAAACAAGACTTTGTGAAAATGGAGGTGTCAGTTCTCAGGGCTAGTGCTCACCATCAACAACATGAAACAGGAGCACGTTTTGGCACAGCCACTTGGGTGCTTGTCTCAGGCTCTCTGGGGTCAGAGAAACACAAACATTCAACAAATACCCAGCTGTCAGACTGATCTGAGGTTCATTTACTAAATCTCTGTTTTGCCATTAACTGTTCCAGGAATTCTGGCCAGGGTGAAGCAGGATAAAACTGATGGACTCAGGGTGGTGGTCAAGGATCAGTCTCTGAAAGAACAAATCACGGTGATCAAGACATGTACCTCTGACCTGAGATAACCGATTGGTGCCAGGAGCTGTCACTTGTTTCCTAGCAGGATGGTGCAAAGAACTGAGATGCAGGGGCTGATTTTGCTGGGTACTGAGATTGAGGAGTAGTTTCAGGCGTGAAGCAGTGTTTCACATGGCAGAGGGGATGTTCTCTATCCTTCAGGCATGCTGTAACCCACCAGGTCTCTGGGAAACAAATTAGGAATGGTACATACCTACCACATGTACTCCTCCGAGTCATTTGTATCTCAGATATCCTGGCTTCTTTAGGCTTCGGGCTGCTCTTCAGCCACGGTTTGCCCCAGGAACAAGTGGAGCATCAGTCCCAGGTAAGAGAATCACCCACCAGCATCTGCTCCCAATGCAAGTGTGAGCTGGCACACAACAGCTGTTTAGCCCTGGCTGACCATCTGGACATGAAAAGCCATTTACCTGGTGTGTGAGCACCCCCGGCCCTGCAGCTCCTTCTCCAGGAAGCCTGTAGGCAGGGCTTGGCCCTCCCAAGCCATGACCAGCCCATGTTTAAGCCTTTGTGGACCCGGGTGGAAGGTGAGCATCTGGACATGTGCACAGGTGGGAGATGGCAGCTGCCACCTGCAGCTCCTACCTTACAGTAGGGGATGGAGCAGCCAAGGGGCAGTTAGGCTGCTGGACACCCAGTGATGGTGACTCTATGCGGTCTCTGCTGGCTTACCTTCTCTCACAGGTGAGATACCTGGGGAACTTCGATCCATCAGCAATGGCACAATGGATTGCCACCCCCATCCACACAGTGTGAGAGCTGCATGTGACTTGGAAACCCAGAGATCAGCAATTCCTCTAATAACAGCAAAAAAAGAAGAAAAAAAAAAGGTCCCTAAGGGCTCTTCAGTGTTCCTTTTGTGGTTCCAACATACAGATCTCTGTGTGCACATCCCTGTAGCAGGTGAAAGATGCTACTCTGGGCTCCAGCTGGCCCCCCTCCCACCACAGCCGAGTGCTTCAACAAGTGCCAAGGCTGGCATGAAAGAAGCCTTTCAATGAAAACAGACCAACCCAGTCACTTCAGACAAAAGACTGCAGTAAGTTGTATGTTGGCAGAGCTCTTGGCACTTCCTAGTGCCCTGTTTTCACAACCAGCCTCTTCCACTGCTAGCCCTATCCTAGTATTTTTAATTTTTTATGTTTTGCTGGTCCCTATCTCAACTCATTGCTAATAACCAAGGGACTCTGAGATGGAGTTGGTAGGAGGTGAAGACAATGTAAAGGCATTTGAAAGCACTGAAGTAGTGCTGTGACACAGCCCCTAATCAAGCCCAAAATTGAACTTGGTCGGCATCAGAACACTCACTCCTGCACAGACCTAAGCCCCTGGGGAAGAAAAGCCCCTGACCCATGGAGGGAGAGCCTGGTGCACCCTGCAGTGGGGTGTGAAGGGGCTCTCTGCTCCCCTGTGCAATGGTTATACTTGGCAAGCAGAGGGAAACAAGTAAAGATTTAAGAAAGGTTTACAGTTTGGACTCAAGATCCAGTTTCTATTTAGTAACCTCCCCTTTATTTTAGCATATTCAGTCACACACTGAATTCGTGACATGGAAATGGCTTCATGTCTGCTCGTGTTTGAGCTGCATCCTCAGCTGATGCCTCTGAAGACATCAGTCAGCCACAGGGCACTTGCCACATTTCCATCTTGCCTTCCATCCCACCGCTGCAGGTGTGAGTTGCTCTTGGGAAGGTTCAAGCAGGCTTTCTGCAAACTCAAAAGCTACATTAACAAAAAAGAAAAAAGTATTCTACCCTTGCAAACAATTACACTGCTTTATTTTTCAGTATCACAGTCTCAGGAAATGAAACAGTCCAGATCCTTTCCAAGATAGTACACAGCTTTTTTTTTTCCATCTCTCTGGCCACAAAATAATCAAATTAAATATAAATTTGTTGTTTTGCTACATCTATTACATTGGAAGAACATAATTACTGGTAGAAGCAGCTGAGCTCCAGGAGCCAAGGGTGGAACGAAGCGTTGTTTTCTCCTGCTCTTGTGTAACCCACTTCAGTGTTTCCAGAAAAGCACACGGAGGGACAGAAGGATGTGGTGGATAACAAAATACAGCGGTTTATTGAACAAAATGGGGCAAGGCAATGTTCCCTTTACATTCAATGAAAATTCTGGAGTATGAAGCAAAACATGCTATACACACACATGGACATGATACTTTGGTTAAATGTCATTCAGAAGTTCTATGCCAAACCTTGTAAAAATCAGAGAGTCAACAGTCAAAAATAAGAAAAAAAATAGGCTTGCATAGACAGATTATTGTCAGTGCGCAATTTATATTTCAGAATTAGCTGTTGCAATGCAGGGTACACATGCAGCTCTGAGGAATTTAAGCCTTCTGACTAATCCATCTCATCGCATGGCTAATATTTAGATTCAACAGGCTGAAAAAGTTTACCCTGAAGAGCTAGATGAGACAACTGCAGTTTTTTTCTCCGAGGCAATTAACTATATTGCAGTGCACAGATGCAGATGGAGACACACTGTGGAGTCTACTTTGAGTGAACACTGATACAGTGGAACTTGTTTATCGTGAAGTAGAAAGTACTCATTTGTGTGTGCCACCGTCCTCTGTGGGACTCTCCTGGAAGAGCCCAAACTGCAGAGCTAAACCTTGCCCTGTGCTACTCAGGGGGAGGAGGTGGCTGATGATATTTCCAGCACAGAAGCTGAGGGCAGTGCAGCTTCCCAACACAAAACCTGTCCTGCAGCCTGTCCTGAGCATAGCAGTCCAAGCAGCACTTGTGTGCAGCATAGCTGGAACCTCCACAGCAGTGCTACGCAGCCAGAAACATGCTATGGCACATGTTTACAGAGTACAGTCAACTGGGATTTCTGTAGGCTTACACCTGCCTTCTGCAACGAAACAAAACCCAAAGAAAGACAAGCTGCCTGTGGTATACTTCACGCGAGGGACACCATTGTGCCTCAGAGCACTATATCCCACACCCACCTCCCAAACCAACTGCAAAACTAAGCACTGAGCATCTTGAGAGAATGGAGCAAAACCAACTGCCCGTTGGCTGGGGACGGATACAGGACAGAGTAAACCTCAAAGTCACCCCCAGATGGGAATTCCTGCTCCAGCCCCCACCCTGGCATCAGGGCCAGAAGCAGGACAGCAAAGAGCTCAGTCACCCATCAGTCCATGCTACGAGCTGTGCTTCATTTCATATTGCATCTAACATAGCTTTGCAGTGCCAGGGCTGCCGTGAGAAACAGCAAGAGCAATCTGCTCAGGGTGACAGACACCCAGGAGATCATTCTGTGTAAGCAGCCATGAGTTTCATGGACTGGCTGTGCTAGATTACAAGAGTGTAAACTAAGTAGGGGAATCCTCACACTGTCTCCAAGTGCTCCCCTTTATATATAAATTAGCAATCCACAGTTAGTTTGCATACAGGTTAATATGAATTAAAATAAAAACCTTAATAATAAAAATATATATAATATACACATTGATCAATAGCAATAAACTGAATGAACACAATAGAATGTAACAGTGGCTGTAATTTGGCACAAAATAAAAACGTACAAAGGTCTAGCACTGTAAAAATAAAAATCCTTTTTTTCCCCCCCAAGTAAGAGAATGTTATCAATCCTGATTCCAATTCTGACAGGTGAGAATGCAGAGATATAAAAATACTGTACATACAAGATCCCTTTTACAGAGTGAAGCAGACTGCAGCATTTGTAACTTCTGTGCTTCCTCCCCAAGAGGAGAAATTCAATGATGAGACTTCATCTATCCCCTAACAACTGGTATTTCCCTCCCCACTAATTTCAAAACCATGAAGTTCTTTAAAAAAAGGCGAGATTAACCTGTCAGATCTATCCATGTGATAACTGCTTCTCACTGCAGGAAGCTGTACAGTCCACATTAAGACACTGTTTCATCGCAAGGTGACTCAGATCAGCCTGCTGAAGACATCGAGTATCCCTGCATGTAAGGCACAATCACTCCGGTTCACCCGACCTCTCTTTTGCAGACCATTGTGCTTCGGACGGAGGCGAGGAGGTGGCGAGAGCTCTTGCTGGTGAGATGTGCCTACTATGAAGATAAGGAAGTGCCAGGATTTTATGGTGAAGAATTGTCCACACGGTGCCTGTTGCCTTTAATGCACAGAGTCAGAAAGGGATCCAAGACCTGAATGACCTGGTCAGGGGTCCCAGCAAGGGCTCCAACATGCTATTAAATCCAGAACAAACCCACACGCAAAGCTACTAAAACTTGGCAAGAAAAGACAAGGAAAAAACAGTTACTTAAATGTTTTTCTGTCACAGAAAGGAAATATTGCTGATTGTTTCTTTCAAAAAGATCAATTTCATTGTGCCTCTTCCCAGGGACACACGTGCAATGTGCTGATTTTGCATCTCACCTACACAAGCTGCATCTTCTTGACTCTCAACAGAACTGCAGCTGCTGAGCCCCAAGAGGAGTTGGCTCCTTGTTCAACCATGGCATTAACTTACTGACTTCAATGGGGCCATGGAACCTCCTTCTGGTGGTTACTAAACATGCGAGCCCTGACGCAACTTTTGTCTCAGAAGTCTCTGACCTACATGAGGCCCACAAGATGTATTAGATGAACAATTGCTCTGTTTATACCCCATTTAGTACATGCTTTCCTCAGCTACCATTCCTAGCATTTCCTTCTCTCTCAATAGGTGTCAGCCCCTTCTAACACAACGAACGTTAGGGCCACCCTTTTCACAAGGGCTATGGAAAAATAAAACAGGAGAAACACAAGTGACAGCAAATGAACAGAGGTAGGGAGTGAGAAAAAAAAAAAGGTAAGGACTAAGAGAGCCCATAAAGCATTCAGTACTCCCTGAAGGTATCCAAGGAAGCAGCAGGTGCTCCTGGGATCCCTCCCTTGGGCTCTCATCTCTTGCCATGGCTGGAGATGCTGGCTGACCTGAGGAGGCCGTTGTGGAGATCCTGCAGCTCCACAGAGCAGGCACTGAGGTGTTCTTTAGACTTTACCCAGCTTCCAAATAAAACCAACTGGAGTTTTCTCTTGTATTATTTCCACACACTCCCACTGAAGTCAAGAACTTGGATACTCCCAAGCATCCCTCCTGAATTAATAGCTTTTCCAAATGTCACTGGGCTCAGGACCTTCATGACTTTTCTATTAGGGTAAGACAGAAGTTACATCAGCCAACTGCACTGCAAGAAAGCCTGTCACAGCCAGCTACAGAGGCCCTGGGAAGGCTGAATTCCTAGTTAGTGATTTCCCCTTGCCCTTTGCAGAGGGTCACCGTTTTTATCCCCTGCACAGCAAGTACAAAGCAAAACCACTTTCTGATTTGGCATGACTTTTCCCCATCCAGTTTTTCGCAAGGGCACCTGATGATACAACCAGCAGGGCCTGAACTGGGGTGTCTGCAGAAAGTATTAGTTCATAAAACCCCTCCAGGCATTCATGTCACAACAATAAATATTCTGATGGCAAGGGAGGGGAAAAACCCACAGAAAAAAAAAATGGCATTTTCAGCAGCAGAAATTTTGACTGTTACATGAAATATAAAAATAAATTTTTAAAAAATAAAGTCTTTGCAGATGAGGTTGCCACATTGGCCCAAGTTATCAAATAAAAAAGAAAGAAAATAGGGTCTATGTTGTTCCTTTTCCAGATCCTTTAAAACAACATTAACTCTTCTGAATGGACAGAGATGGAACGAGAAGAGGGAACAAGGCAAGGACAGTAAAATCTAGCTGCTGGCTGGGATATTTCCTGAGAAGCAGCAGCAAGCAAGACCTTGCAAGTCACTCAAGGGTTCATGCAGGTGAGCAAGCTCACAGTCTGGAAGCAACGGTACACAGCTAGCAGGATGCTACAAAGTCCTATGTTACAAGATTTTTGGCTAGGGTATGCCTGGAGCAGAGGCAGAGCAGAGGTCTATCAGGGGTTATCTGGTTCTTCACAGATCGTGAATTGCTGCCAACAGGCCAGTGGGGGTAGGAGATGGAACTTTCTTGAGTTGTTGGTCAAGGCAAGGCATGGGCTTGTGCTATGGTATTAAATATGCCCTTGAAACTTCATGAAAAAGGAGTTGCCTTATCTTCCTAGTGATTTGCCTCGGCAACTGTCCTGACCAAGGACAACATCCAAGGTTAAAGCCTCACAGCTGTCTTGGCACTTGAACTGTGCATTAGTGAAAGAGCAGAGAGCCATGATCTCTTCCAATTTCTTATCGGTGCTCCACACCAGCATGTGCTCTCCACAAAGCTCTACGGAGCTGTCAAGGCTCCTTTCCGAGGCAGACTGGTAGCAAGGGCAAGCACAGTCACAGCTCTGCCTCCCCTCCTCAGCAAAGCCAGCAGCAGAATTGCAGCTGCCAGCGGGAGACAGTGTGGTGGGACAGACTCCACTGGGCATAAGGGGCTGCAGGGGCAAAGCGGCCAGGCTTGCTGCCATGAACTGGACTGGCAAATGAATAACTAGCTACGTTGTACTGGCTGAACAGACTCCAAGTCAGATGCTCAGCTTTGTAGTTTAAAAACACACCTCAAAAAAAAATTAAAAAAGGCAAAAGAATTTAAACGACAGGAGGCCAAGGGAAAAGGCTACTTGTTTGTGCAAGAGAAGAATGATTTTCATAGAGTGGAGGGAAAATAAGCCATTGAAAGGAAAAATAAAAATTAAAAAAAAAAACAAAACCAAAAACAACTGCATGGACAAATCTATATAGACAACTTAAACCTGCAGATCCTGGAGAGGAACAAGTTTTATCCTAACTGGAGTCTGCCTGGGCTGCTGGACGGAGCAGTGTAGAGGGGAAGCAGTCTGCACAGACATTGTGTGGACTGTTTGGCACTCTGTTTCTAGTCCAAAGTTGCCTGTAACTGTACGTTTTGGATTTGATGGTCAATGCCCATAAGGCCCTCCTTCAGACCCATGTCTCCAAGACACATGCAGGTTCAGACACAAGATACTGTACTGAAGTGCATCAGCAACTGAGCTAAGAGTTACAGTATTTACTACTTGGCTTCAGTGAAATTCCTTGGCTTCTACCACACTGAAGCTCAAAGCAGGTGACCACAGAGCTCCCTTCAGGCATTTAAATCTGTTTGTATGATTCTTCCCAATCCACAACTCACAGCTTCATCAACTCCCTGGCACATCTTAAAAGTCATGCACACAAGGTCTAGTTTCCGTTGAAATTGTCTTTCCTTTTAACTGTTCTATTCTATACCCTGGAGCTAAATGCCTGGTTACACACTCTACCCAGATTGCTGGAAACCCTAAAAAGAAATACAGCAGTTAAGAAATTCTGTTCTACAGACAATTTCTTCCTCACCAGGGCAAGGTTCTGGCTTTTGCTGGTGTACTTTACGAAGATGCTCTCTCCCTTCCTGCAAGCTGTCTGTCAGGTTGGCTCAGCTGTCTTACCCAGCACAGGAAGAAACATGTTTCCTCTTATAACTCTCTTTGCTAAGTCATCATAATATGGAAAAGACTTGTATTTTGTCATTGCCTTAACCCAATTCATTTCTTGGATTTTCCTCCTTGTTGTACATGCATCTCTATTTGTCCTACTTGTCACAGCTCCAGTCAAAGCTTAAAAATAAAAATAAAAGGAAAGCCTCAAAAGAATGTAAGAGAAAGCTGTTAAGTCAGCTAGTTGATTCACACAGCTCAGTGGCAGCTAGATTATACTGAACTGCTTAAGTGATCACATATGAGAAAGAAATTAAAACGAAAAATGCTCCTTATTAATAAGATGACACTTAAAAAGAAGAGATCCTGGGAGTGGAGGGTGGATACCCCATTGGGTAAGGAATTGAGAAAGTTGCCTGGCAATTCCAGTAATGTTTGCTACAGAAGAGTCAGTACCAAAGCAAAGGCTAGCACAGTTTAGTGCTTCCGACGGGAACCTGGAAAGCCAAACAGAAAGAAAAAAAGAATCTGTAAGGATAGATCCTGGTGAATAGTTTAATACCTGTAGTCATCTTTTACTTGTCCTGCCCTCTTGACTGTCTGTGTGACTTCCACAGTAGCAGTAAAGTAAAATGCCCAAATGGGAACCATACGTTACATTACTCAAGCAAAAGGAAGGATAGGTCTACTGGACAGACAGCTGTTCGCATTTCTTCTAGGCTGTGAACAGCACTGCATCCGCATTGTACAGTCTCACTAAAGAAAACAGAACTAACACTGGCCTTACAGACTACAGAAGTGCCATCAACTTCCCAGCTTGTTTGATGAAGACAGAATGCAAGTTTCCCAAACTTCTAGGTTTTGGGAAGTAAACTGTCAACATTTAAGTCACAATCAGTGGAGCTGGAAGAAATCGAAGTGATTGAGTTGAAATCTGGCTTCCCCTTTCCTCCCCTAGAAATTCTACAGATAACTCAGACAACTGGCATTTAGATTTAAAAAATGGTGGGGGGGTGCAGGAGCTGGCAGGACACAACCCTAACCACACTGCTCTTGTGCCAAGTCATTTCAGGAAACAAGCCAACAAAGCGGTGCTGAGATGCTACTGGAATAAAACAAGCCTGTTCTCAGGACAAGCTTCTGTCTGACCATCCCATCCGCCCACCAGACAGGTGATAGATACTGTGAGGATTTGTCTTGTATTGGATTGTTTGATACTAGTGAGTCACCTAAAATCCATCATGCCATTGTCTTCATGTTATTTCTCCTTCATTTGCTGCCTTGATTTACAGTCATTCATCATTAAGAGATCACAGAGGACATGCAGAGAACAGTTTGACAAACTCAAGGCAAACCAATTCAGCTTTTTAGTCTCTCAACCTGCAACAAGCTCAGCAAGTTCAACTTGCACACTGACTAGCATCAACTGCCTGCTGGGCAATAATATCCATTCCTCCTCTCTATTAGCCTCTCGTTTGAACATCCTGTCCTGGAGGCTGCTTATTTGAGGAAAACAGCCCATAATAACCCAAGTCCTGGGGCAACCACAGGCTTGATCCTACCTTTAGGAGAGTGCTCAGGTTTGGGGATCTGGCGCAAGGGGCTGGGCTGGCTTGTGTAATACCGAGCATCATCGAGGAGAGGCTGCGACCTGCCAAGCACAGTGAAAAAGAAGCGTTGGGGGAAAAAAACCCAAAGGCATAACAAAAAACCCAAGGCATGAAAGCATAGCAAAAGCACCTTCTCAGCTGCCTGGTCTGTCCCTGTCAGTTTGATGCAAACTGCGTCTGGCCCAGACTTCCCACCTGTAGACCAGCTCCTCTAAGCACAGCCTGTTACTGTTTCTGCCATGAGAAACACACAGTATTTACCACTTCTCACGGACCACTTTCATTTAAATAATGTTTTCAACTTGTCATAATGGAAATTATTTGTTTGCTGACATTTGATGCAAACCTCACTCAAAAGAACAACATTTTTCAAGTGTTTAATGCTTGCCCAGTTTTAACCCCCAAGTATTTTAATAAGAACAGCACACCCCATTTGTTGTTTCTTTTGCAAATTCAACAAGAATTTCTAGGCTCATATCTCGACTGGTAACCAAAGCCACTGGGGTCACTTCTAGGGTTCAGTCCCTTCTGAAGAGCATAAGGCCAGGATACCACGTGATTCAGAAGCAGCACTGGGCTACAGTATGTTGCTGTCAGCTCTGGGATGAGGTACCCCAAAGCACAATGTACTTGCTTGCAGGAGGGTGTCCACAGGCAGCAGCAGGAGCAGCGCACAGGGCTGAACTGGGAACAAGGACCCCAGGGAGCAGCTGTGCAAATGCATCGTGATTACTCCTTCCTGCCCAGAGATGACATTTGGTTTCACATCCCCAAAAGCTCTTTAAACCTCTCAATGTTTCTCTGCCATTTAACAAATGTCACTGCACAAGCTCATCAATCTCCGTCAGCACCAGGCAGGAAGACAGATATGGACAAATGTCAGGAGCACAGCGTGTGACGCATGTCACCGAACACCTCACGAGCTCTGTGCCCTCCATTCCTTTTCAGTGCTAAAACTTCCGCTCTCCACCAAGCCCCTTGTAGGTGGGTCAGGCTGGTTGCCCCACAACTCTTCCCTAGGACTCAGCTTCTGAGCAACTTCCCAGCTGTATTTCCCATTTTTGACCAGCCAGTTCAAGCTCACCTTGAAGACCTGTCACCTTTGTGTCGCTGAGTTTCAGGCCCTTCTTTTGACCTTGAGCGTGTGGACTCGCTTGCATCATGCTGATGGGAAAAAGAGAAAGCAGTTCATCTGTGTGCCTTGAAAGACACCAGGCAGTGCACTGAGGAAGACACAGCTCCATGCAGTCCTTTCATGCTCAGTTTATACACACAACTAGCCACAGTCAGATATGTGCAAACAACCGGATCTGGACTACTTTACAGTAAACAAAACTCAAGCCTTGCTGAGCCAAACTCAATTCTGTTCTAAATATGAGACAATGCTGGGGCGCCCGTCCCAAATCTGGGGTCAAACACAGTCAGTATGTAGTGACTGTGCACACAGATGGGCTGAGCACAAGGGACCAGCTGCATGCAGCTGTGCTCCTGCACTCAAACACAGTAAGGAGGCTGAAAACATCAGAGCTACCTCCAACTGGCTCAAGATTAACATGACAGCCCCTTTAGCACCTTACCAATGCAGACCATGAAATCTGTTTCCTATCACTTTCTAAACTGGCTAGCCAAGCATCTGTAGTAGTACTCATACAAAACCCTAGGTTTGATACACTCATCTCTCTAATGAAAGCATTATTATGAATCAGAGTGACAGTTGGATCAGCTGCATTGTACTTATATCTGCAGTGCATAAACAGAACCAACTACTGCTTTTATTGCTACAGTCAGGATTTCAGCAGAGGGAAGGTTCTGCACCAGGAGGACTGACAGTGCTTGAGGGATGCCACCAGATGCTGTGACATCCAGTACCAACCTCTAACCCCAGCACCCAAGGTTTACCTTGCTCTGGCTGGAACCAAAGAGCATCTAACCAAGAAAGTGGCTCCAAAAGGCTTAGGAAGCAGCTGAATAACAGGCAGCAAGACCCTTTGGATGCAAGGGTCTGCATCATTCCCTTTGCTCTCACCACACACCCTCACTTCCCTCTGGAAATGGGAATAACATTTTAGCACTTCATTTGTGGTGCCTCATGAAGCTTGACATACCTTCCAGTCTTGATCGTGCCTTCTCTTTTCAAAGGAAGACTTTTCTCTCTCCTTCCCTTTCTTTAAAGCCTTTTTCTCCTCAGCCATCAAGAGTCGGGCAATTTCCTAGAAGGAAAGAAGAGAAAGTGCGTCAGACGGTTTTACTGCTACCACGGGTTTGAGTTATTTAAACCCTTTTCTATGGACAGCTGCTGAATGGGAAGGGTGCAAAGGATCTCACCCATCTGGGATCAGAAATCAAGTGGCAGAGAAGAATTAAGACTGACTACATGCAGCATGCCCAGTGGATACCTTATTTGCCAGAACTGAGTTTGCAGAGCCTTTCTGCCCTTTATCCCCTTGCCTTCAGCGAGGTGTGTGGGTGTGTGTGTGTTCATCTCAGCATCTCTGATGGTCTCCCTTGGAGCTCAGTGACAAGAGATGCTTTTACACAACCATAAACTTCCTTCCTCTGCCATGGTTGCAACAGGCAGTGGCTCAGCCAGCTTGAGTATATATACATCAAAAACAGTTAGGAGCAAACCCCACTGGAGCCCTGAGCTTCCCCTAGAAGGGCAAACAACTAGAGGGGCAGAGAGGACAAGTGGGGTTTAGCAGTTTCCACAAGTCAAGGAAAACCACAAACATTTGACTTCTTGCTCACCTCATCTTGGGCTACTTGAGCAGCCTTCTGATCAGCCTCATTAGCCTGAAGGAAGGAAAAAAAAAAAAAGAAAAGAAAAAATAAGAGACAAAAAAGTAACATCTCTGAATTACTCATACCCATCAACATACTGGGTGGGGCAGGTAGGTGCCCATACAAATACATTACCATCCTCTCCAGGTATACTTAGCTCAATATTTACCCCACAACTCAACACCAAACTCATTTCAGCTTTTCAGTTGAGCTCTGCCCTCATCTATCTGCCAGGCCACACCACAATGCACTGCCCACCCTGATGACCTCTCTCCAAGATGGGCACCGGCCTGTCTCATTTCTGGGCTGTCCACATTGACTACAGGCCATCTTTACTTGCCTAGAAATGTTCAGTTAATACCACTTTGCTTCCGTCATTTTGTTTTGGGGTGTTTATTTCAGAAAACAGGGCTCTATTGGCTGGATGCTACCTGTCACTCCACATGTGTGTGTATGGGAAACAAAGGTAATTACCAGAATGCAGTAGCAAGACCTTAGGTCTTAAAAGACACTATTGTATATAAAAGGTTTACAAATTAAATTTGTCATCACTGGCTACCTTAATTCCTTGCAGTTGACTAATGCATCTTCTCCACTTAATGCATCTTCTCCACTTACCAGGAGCTCTTCCTCCTGCAACTTCCGAGCAATCTCTGCATCAGACAACTCCTGTTCCCTTCGGGGTGCTTCATACATGGCTTGCTTTGACCCCCTCAACTTAATGCCTACAGAATCGTGAGAGAAAGCAATCAACTCAAACATTTTCCAAATGCTTTAGTAAGCAACCATCTCCTCAGCTGTTGTCAAAAGCCCCACTCGGGGAACCAGAGACTACGACAGCGTACCTGCCAGACAGCTGGTTTAAGAGTACCTTTAGTTGAGGTGCAGCATGCACTTTAGGGAGGTTTCTCTATGCATATAGAAATATCTGGTATGCCATGCCTCACATGACAAATACAACTATATGGCAGAAGAGGCCATGTGCCTTGAAGCAGTCTGCTGACACAGAGATGCTACCAAAAGAATCGTAGTATTTCACAGTCCGCACTGATAGATACACTGGCAAGACTGTGCAGCAGTGAGCAGCCCAACCTCTGTCACGAGCACAGCAGAGTCTAAACACACCGCTAGAGAAGCACAGGCTGCAAAAGTTGCTTGGAACAGGCTCACGTGAGATTTCAGACAATTTTTTCCTTGGGCTGACCCATGAATTTTACAATTCACAGTGAGAAAACAACCAAGTAAACATATTTGAAGTTCATACAAGGTTCAGTTCTTGCTTTGAGTACAAAGTTTTATTTGTTTAAAGTTAAATCATCTCCAAGTGATTTAAAATGTTGCATTAAAAGTCTGTCTCTCCACAGTCTATTTGCACCAGGCCATCAAAGGAGTCTCACTGCATCCCTGTTGTAAAATTCATGACCGCACTCACGTACAATGAATGCCTTCTCCTCCATCTGCAGTCTGAACTGTATTGTTCAGACATCATAGACATCTCAGTGAGCTTTCTGCTTTATGTCCGAAGTATACTCCAGATGTATACTCTTCCACCTCAAACACAGAAAGTTTCACTCAAACTTCCATTACTCCAGCTACACCATTTACACATTTATTATAAATACCTGTTACATCTTACTACGCCACCTATCAGTTTCCTTCCCAAATCGTAAGACCAAGGGAAAAACATGAAGTAACCAAGTGACCTCGACAAACTTTCTGTGCATCTACCAGTAAACTGCTCAAGCATCCCAAAGACTTCCAACTGCAGAGGGCCAGAGACCTCATGCATCAACCTGGAGTAAAATCATAGAACAGGAAACCACCTCTTCTACAGGTATGAAAGGAGGTGCGTGGGGTTTTGTGTTTTGTTTGAGTCAACTGATCAATAATATGAAGCAATTAACACCCCTCTTACAAACTATCTTATCATAAGAAGACTTCAGCTCTGGCATGTTATGGTTAAGCTTATGACCTGGCCTTTCCCAGCACACTTTGATCAATCCAAGCTGTGAAGATTGGGAATCTCTGGCCAGCACAGAAACTGGCAAAAAGCACCAGCTTGGTCAGAGTTAAATTATTCAGAGTCCTTCCAAGGTCAAAGTAAACACAGTTTTACCATGTTGGAATGAACAACAGTGTGGCTGACAGGCTCCTGTATAGCATTACCTCTATGGAGAACAGAAGTACATTTCCAGGAATTGTTTGCTGGCCAGCTCAAGGCTGAGCTTTCTTCACACGCTGACTGGTGCCAGGCTTCATTTGCTCAGAAGACAACAATGAACGTTACTTCCACATCACTTCTACCCACACTCAGGGGAGCACGAAGCCCACAGGAAGAGGATGTGAGCGTCTGGCTATTTTGACTCAATGCGATGGGATACTGAGTCACTCAGACCCACACTGTATTGGGGCAAATCATGACTTACTGATTATAAAGACCTGATTAACACTTTCCACTGCCCCAAAGAAAACTTTCGCATGATGAAGATAAAGAATAACTCCCCCAGCATCTCCAGAGATAGGCACGTATTACGATTCCCATCTTATCCACGGAAGACCAGTTAGGTGGCTTAAAGCACAAGTTACCTCACAGTGTGACAGACACATCCAAGTCTCTAAACTCCTACTAAGAGACAGGTCACACCCAGCCCCAGGGTGGTTTTAAAAGCAGAGAGATGGATCTGGATCTTTAAGGCCCACCAGTCTCCAAGTATTGCTGAACAACAATAACTACATAGGTACACATTTCCCTGAAAAATCCACTTGTACAGAATTTGACAAGAACCTCATCTTACAAACAGAGCCCAGCGGGCCATCCAGTGCACTACTGACTTTGCACTAAGTGAACTGATCACACAGATGGCGGGGTTTTCAATAAGTGGATGGGAATTAGTGCTTAAGCAAACTGTCCTCACTTACAGCCTCGCATCCCAAATCAACAAAATACAAGTGTAATCATAACATTTGGGGTTTTGTTAAGCTTTTTTTCCTCCTATGTAAGGAGACCACAGCACAAATTATATCATGAAAGCAAAAGATGGTTGTTGGTTGTTTTTTAGTGTTTTTTTTTTCTTAAATGCAGAATAACAAGGGCACTATTTCCAACAAGACCTTCTTATCCACCCTCGCTGATGCCATGGAACAGGTCAGTAAATAAACAGAGCAAGAACATTAATGGGTAAGAAAAATCTCACCAAATAAGGGTGAAACCTGGCCAGGTTTCACCATGTACACATTGCAGGTGGATATCGGGACAAGCATCTTCAAAAGAAACAGCACAGATTTCAGATACCAGGATGGGGCATGCAAAGGTCCATCCCCACACATACATAAACCTTCCCCATCACTTGGTTACCTGAGTCTCGCTGGCAGTCTCCAACCTTCCCCTGGGACACAGCTTGTGGGGAGGGGGAACGTCTCCTGTGTCCTGCCCTTTTGCAGTCTCTCTCCTCACCCCTCCTATGATCACCTCTAGATTCAGCATCATGGAGCTTCTCGTCATGCCTCCCCCTGTGTGACGAGCGGCCCTGATGACGAGACTTGTGCTTTTCAGGGCGCGCCAGCTGGCTGCTGCCCTGATGCCACATCTCCTGCTCAGCCTCCAGTTCCATCTCAAGAAGGCGAAGGTGCTTTTCTCTGTCTTGCCTTGTTGGCTTTCTGTTGTGCCGTGTCTGGTCTGCAAGTCTCTGCTTTGACTCCAGGTCAAGACTGAGAGGTCTCCAAGCCTTCTCCCTGCCAGCTGCTCTCCTCTCCCACAGCTCCCAGCTATTGCTGTGGTTATAGGCGCCATGCTCAGCCTCTCTGTCCAGGTCAAGGCTGGGATGTCTCTTGGACCTTCCCTGGCTGGCTGATTTCCACTCCTGCTGATGGCCACTGCCAGCCTCACTCAATTGAGACATCTGATGATCCTCTGAGGCAGAATGTCTGTGTTCAGAGGCACCGTTGGACAAAGGCAAGGGCGTTTCTCGGTGCTCTCTCTGCCGGTGTGTGTGCCTGTCACGACTGCGTGCCCTGCAAGGCTCAGAAACCTGCTCTCTGGGGACACCCCAGGGATGCTCTGAGCAATGGGGGGACAAACAACGAGCGGGTTAGTGGTGCAAGGGTTAATGGTGGTTCAGCGAGGCCAGACTCACAGCACACATATAAGGGAGCTTGACGCAAGGAGAAGCTGGAAATGTAGGCAAAGCACGACAGGATCAGAAAGAAGAATAATGGGGATACAATGCTTGCAGGATTAAATGGGACAGTGTGAAATGGCAGCCTGGCTAGCAGCAGGGCAGCACAGGAGACAATGGAGTTGGAGCAGAAAGCACAGCTCCAGCCTGAAAGTGTGTCCAAGCACATCCTAAGAGAAGGACAAGCCAATATAAAGATGAAGGACTTTTAATGATGCCATCAGGGCTGAAAAAATGCCAGCAGAGCAGCTCACCTCCTGGTGATGCATCACTGCTGAAGGATACTGAAACCACTAGCGAAAGTCTTGGAAAAGAAGGCACAAGATGAAGGTAATGCTGGGAGACAACATCGAGGGAGTTTTGGGCCAGAAGGGCACAAGCAGAGGGTCAGATTGGATCCTGGTTTATGATCACTGGTGCCTCTGTCCTGGCTTCAGACACAAGGCTTTTTATCAGCAAAAACAGCCTCACCTAACAGGGGGAAGACTCACATAAAGCAGAAGAGAGAGACAAGTGTGATGTGATTTAAAAAAAAAAAAAAAAAGCAAGAACAAGATGATGGATAGCTGCAGCATCCAAATATCTTCCACTGCAGACTGTCAGATATCTCTTGCAGACCCAGGAGTTTCAGGGCCCACACTCAGTCACTGCCTAAATAAAAGTTTAGCTCTAACTGCAGGGAGGCCTATGGAAATTTAAGGGCAGGATAAGACTTCACAAAACTCAGGCTCCTAACCTCAGCAATGTAGCTGGAAAAGTCACATATTCGGCAGTGTGGTGGGGTTCTTTCCTCCATGCTTTCCAGAAATTCTTTGCTTTCAGTTTCAGTACGGATATTTTCTTTGCTTTTAGTTTCAGTAATAAACCTGACACAGCTATGAGGATGCAGCCTGCCTGTATACAATCTGCTGATTGATTTATTTTCCAATGAATCTATTTGCTAAGAAAATTGCACTGAGCAAACTATTATCTCTCTACAGCAGCTTTTCAGAATAGAGGCATATTTCTGAAGAAAAAAACTGCCTTGAAGCAGAGGCTGATTCAAAACAGAACTACAGAAAAAAAATACAAAACCAAAAACCAGCAGCATAAGACTTTCCTTCCTCACTGCTGAGAGGTTTTTTTAATAGTATCTAAAAATATTTCAAATAGATTTCACTGCACATGAACTGCACTCTGTTTTAATAAATAGCTCTGTCTTCCTTACAATCATCTAGATTTCAGGGGGAAAAAAAGAAAAAACTAAAAAACAAAACCACACACCAACAGTCAATGTTCCCTTCAAGTCATTCTATTCAGAAAAAACTTTCTCAGGGCCAGTAAAAATACAGCCTACACAAAATTCACCCTGAAAACAAATCTGTGTGACTTTTATCCAGAACAGGTATATTTTTAAAAATCCAAGAACTGTAACGGGAACTGCTGTGGTTACTCTTAACTGGTTGGTTTTTCTGTTCAGTTTTAGATCATTCACATGATTTACAGAAAACAAGTATCCAATAAAACAATTTAACTGACTTACTGAACAACAGACACCAGAGCCTGAAAGCAAGAGCCATTTTTTTAAACAATACTAACAAGGGTCTGAGAATTAATTCAATTTTGTCATTAACGAAAGCTCAATAAATACAGCAGCAGAGAGCAGGAGAGCACGAGAGAGCAAAGCGTGGCTGTGCTGTGAAAGGACTGCTGCGGGTAACACAACCAGGCCAGAAAGCCTCAACAGAAGATTTGCTTTTGGGGTATCTCAGGGTGATTAATTACTCAGCATCAGTTCCTGTGGCATCTTCTGGAGGGGCCATGTAAACACTCTTTAGGTCCTGGCATTACTGTCTCAAGCAGCAAGTGACTGAGCAAATACAGAAATGTTTTTCATGGCACAGACACTTTTGGGAGGAACTCTGCCTATTTTCATGTTTATTTTTCCACTTTTTAAGAGCTCACATCGCTTTGGAGCAATAGCCCTAATCCACATTCCTCCTGGATGTGGATACACTTTTTTTTCCAGTCTCAAGACCAACTAAAACCCAAACAAAGCAAAAGCTTTTCTTTGTTTAAGTTCACAAGTAATGAGCATAATACAAACTAGGGATGCTAAAGACTAATCAAACAGTGCCCAAGTATTTAAGAGGTTCCAGATCAATGGACGTGAATCAGCGGATCCAGACAATGGTTCCAGATCCAGGCACCAAAATCCACTTCAGTACTTTCTAGTTTTTAATAAGTGTGGATCAAGAACAGCACTACTATGAATGGTCAGGCAAAACATGTTCTACCTCACCTCCAAGACAGCAGATTATTGCAGGAAGAAAAAATAGACCCACAAGATATCCTACTCTCCAAATCCATACTAGTCTCAGTTCAGAGTTACAGGCTTTTGTCATCTGATTTCTGTTATAAAAATCCATCCTGTCCTACCATCTCTGCACAGAAACTCTATATTACCTATGTTGTATTTTTTCAGGAAGTTGCCCTGTTTAATTCTGAAAAACTGGAAGTGTGGGTTGGCCACAAGACTCCAAGATCAAAGTCTTTCCCAGCTCTGTACATGTAGCAGGACTTGTGGTCATGAAGTTTTTACTTGGTTACTATTTTGCACTTTGTGCTTTATGTTTTCTTGGCCACCTTGAACTTCTTCCCAATTGAAAATAAATACTTTGTATAAGTTCAAATAAAAGGCATTTAAAATTGCCAACCGTATTGATGTTAAAATGAGAAATAAAAGGTTTGATCTTCATCTTCACAAACTGTTATACAAAAACAGCCTGTCTCTTCCCCAACACATTTTTTTTTGGAAGAAAGAACAAAAGAACCACCACCAGTGCACAGCAAAGCCATCCCCAGATCGCTCCATAATTAAACACACACTGATTCTCTCCTCCCAATTTAAAGAAGGTCTGTATTCAATCATGAAAGCCGACCAAGAGAAAGCAATACACCGCTGTGGGTCATATCTTTTCCACAACGTACGATCCCAGATGATAATCACAGCAGAGACATTCTGTGGAAATGACCTTGTTATTCAGTAAGTCATTCAGAGCAGTTGTGTTAATTTTAACGCTTGGATACATACCTGCCAGGAGTTATTTTTGAAAGACTGTTCCATGAACCAGCATTTATTCCTTTATTCATTGCAGATGAACACACGGAACTGTTTCTTGTTTAACGCAAGCATGGAATTTCATCTGCATTTCTCCCCTGCACGCTTGTGGTGTTACACAGAAGTAACTGTGGCTTATCAGTACCATTAGCTACCGTCTTTTTCCACAAGCCCTTTTAAAACATGCATGCACAGGTGTGCTTGCACATACACACACCCCACACTCACCGTCCCTGTCCTCTGGGCCATCTTCTATCAAAAATTATAATTGTCTTCTCTACTTTTTATTTTTTTGAAAATATTTCCTGATTCTAGAATAAAGTCTGAGCCTGATCCCAGAAACTGATGCAATGCTACAGTGCTGAATGCAGGGCTGCAGGATAAGGGAAATCACCTAAACAGAGTTGCCAGGTCACCAGGTTCACCTATACTGCTATGACCTTGATTCTTTACCTAGCAGAAACATACCTCCGTTTTCTGCATAATAGCTATCTTCATAGACTGGGTGTCCCTGGGATTCTGGGTAGTGCTTCTTGCGCTTTTTTTCTTCCTGCAGTTCTTTCTGTTGTAGGAGACGGGCAATGTCCTGAAGAAATGGAAAAAAACAGACATTACCTTTCCCCTCTAGAAATTATCTCCAGATTCATTTATTCAAAATTTTTTTCAATTATAAAAATCTTCATATTTTAATTTTTTTAGACACAGCAGTGACAGGCTTACTCTCAAACTCAACTCCTGGGCTGGACAGGGCTTCCAACCTTGTGGCTGACACAGGGAACCACCTCAGCAACCAGTACCCCACCTCAACCAGGTCCATCACTGAGCTTCCAACCCTGTGGCGGACTCGTAGGTTCCTGTTCCACCTGCACACAAGCCTGCAAAGCCCTAATGGCCAACACATGGCAGAAGAAACTGTGTGTACAACCTCCAGCTTCCAGCAAGGATGTGAAAGTCATGCAAGTGCAAACCTGCTCACATGAGTGGGCTGGACCCCTCCCCCTGGACTCCACCAGAGAAAGAAACACAAAGGCAAAGACTGTCTCCAGCTGAAGGCACTTCTGACTGGAAGGAGCTCCCAGAAAAAGTGATGAACTCGCTTCAAACTAGCTGTAATTTACGGGACTGTAGGATACCAGGCAGGGAAATGCATCAATGTGACAGACAGAGGCTCAAAGAAGAGAAAAATCGAAAGGGACGTTAGGAAGACAGGACTCAGCACAAGGCAGGAGCGCTGTGGAGACTGCAGCTGTTAATCTTCTGTCACTGTTTTGGTAGATATGCCAGAGAGAACAGCACTCCATTTTCCTAATTGGTTTTCCTTCGAGATGACTGATGGACCAACAAGGCCTAGCAACAGCCAGCACCTCCCTGGGCCTTGCTCATTTGGGGCCCAGAAGCTTGCAAGTCAGTGGAGCTAGTCTGAAACTAGGACGAGAAGCTGCAAGACACAAGGAGGACATACTAGCCTTTTGAAAGCTATTCATTTAAGCCTTCCTAATCCTCAGGACCTTTATAGAGCCACGTTGTGAAGTGTACATTGTTGGCAGGAAAGGCATCACTGAAATGCAAGCTAAGAGCCAACACCCTCCAGATCAAAGCCAGCTCTGGAGAACATTAGATGAGTGTGCAAGCACAAATTATTTCAGAATTCAGATCATATCTGCTCAGTAACCAGCTTTGTGGAGGGCCTTGGGATGCCATGGGCTCTTTACCAAAAAACAAATCCACACCAAAAAACAACCCCACAAAAACAAATCACAAAACAAAACCATTCCTCTCCCTGATGAGGTTAACCTCTTGTAGCAAGTACAGTAAGTCTATAAATATAGGGGCTTAAGCACATTATCTCCAGGACTGAGACAGCTCAGGACTTGCAAATCCACACAGTTTCTTACAAACTGGACTTGTAAGCAGGTAGGCTTAGCACTTCACTTGAAATCCCTGCACACTGGACCGGATGATCTTCAAGGTCTTTTCCAACCTAGACAATTCTGAGAGCACTGGCATAACACTGCTCAGCCTCTACTGACACTGGACAGCCATCATATATGCTGGGCAGCTATTACACCCTCAGGTGTGACAAATCCAAGACTAGCCCAGCATGTGGCCAGTACTGGTGTACTACAGAGTGTCCTGCAGCGTACACGTATAGTGCCGAGGGCTACGGAAGGGGCTCTGATGTTTGTCTGTCAGCTGTCAGAGTAACCTCTGGGGTACTGCACAGCCTCACTCACATTGTTGAGGCTCTGCATCAGCACAGGAACCCACCCAAAAGAAATAACACTGGGAAGGGATGGGGGACCTTGAATGAAAGCAGGATTAATTCAAGCTCTCCAGAAGTCCTGTTGCAAAGATAGGTGGTATCACACCCTGGTACCCAGCTGCAGCCTAACTCAGCCCACAGTTACATTCTGGACACACTTGGGAACTTCCCATGTACCACCATGAAAAGAAAGAATATTTATCACCTCCCCTCACTGCTTTGAGCCACATTCACTTGAAGCTGCTCCCAACAGCAGAAGGTGGTCAGCATGCTGGTTTGACAGGTTGCAGGGACCGGTTGTTAGACTGCTGACATCCCAGCAGCTCTCTACAGAAAGCAGGAAGGAAAGGTGAGTAGTATTGCATCCCTTTACCTTCCCAATAAAAATGAGACAGATGGTCACATTTATAGCACAAATCCTTTAGCCAGAGTGCTCCTCCCACCCTTGCTGCCACAAGCTCCTCTCAGAAGCCCTTCCAGTACTTGCTTGGACTTAATGGTATAAGAAGAAAATGAGGTCTTTCACAAGCAAACTGATACATCTGTCAGGTAAGGACAGATTCTTATTTCAGGCTCTTCCAGGAAAACAGCCTTGTGTTCAAGTTGTTTCTACAGAAAAAGATGCCACCAGGTACCTCTTGAGCATCTTAAGACTACTCACACTTCTCAGGAAACTGTAATTAAAAACGAGGTCACACTCCAGGCTCACACAGGTTCCTCCAGTCTGTGGCCTTCCTGAATACCCAATCTGACAGGCTGACACAATAAAGTGATCAACAAGTCAAATCCTTTTAATACCATAAACAAACTACACTGCCCACCCTCAAGCAACAGCAGCAGAGAAATATTCTGAAATCACAAAAGGAATCTACTAGCAAGAAACTGCAACAGTGTTCAGGCTGTGAAAGACTAAACTGAAGATGAAGGAAGGTAATGGAGAAGCCAGAGATGAATGTGTGGGCTGAGGGTCCTGCTGAATTCTTTGCACCGAAGACCAAGAAATCATGACCCAGGAGTCTCCTAAAAGTAGTACCTGTCGTCTTGCATTTGAGAAAGCAAGCAGATCTCAAACTGCATAGGCAATTACACCAGGGCAATGACCACCTCAACAAGACCCATTTGCCCTCTTCATAGCAAGGCCACTGGCATCAACAACCCTTGTGACCCTTGGGCATGAGGACTATGACTATCTTATTCCTGTAACAGGACTCCCCAAAATCTCTGTGCATGCCGAGATCTGTGAGGACCAGACAGACACCATGCAAGCCAACTCCTGTGGCTGATGACCGAGAAATGCCTGCACTGAAAGGGCTGCTACAAATAGCCCTGCCATCCCTGCAGCTTAAAAGGTTACCTCGTCTTTTTCCTCTTGCCTGCGGCGCTGCTCTGCTTCAAATACCAGCTTCACTTGGATTTCCTGAGCGATCTCGCAGTCCTGTCGTTCTCTAGAAGGCAAGGAGACAAGGATTATAGGCAGCTAAAGTCACAGGCATCAGTCAGCCTAGAGAAAGGGATAAAAAGAGCTAAAGAACCCATCTGATTTACAGAGAAGTATTATTACTCTGTATTAGTGCAGAGCCCATGAATTCTCACCAGGGACTAGGACACCCTGTACCTACTGCTGACCAAATTTAGAAAACAGGTCCCAAAATATTCACAATCAGTGTATAAAGCAAGAGAAAACATATCCATAGGCAGTCTGCTAAGAAAGGAGGTGTGTATAGAGTAGGTCAGGCCAAGGTAGGACATAGGATTCTCTGCAAACAGTCCAATTCTGCTGAGAATCTCTTGTACAGGTGGTGCCAAAGGAGTGGTTTGGGGGTATGGTTAATGTAGGCATTTCTGGGAAGGTTTTTTCACATGAAAGCCAAGAAGGAGAAAACACAGAAATGCCGATAGCAAAATGCAGTACACAGGCCAAGGGGAGGCTGGAAGTGGCAGTTCAGTAATGAATGAGAAAATGTCACTGAGATGGGATGAGACGCAGAAGCAGAACCAGTGCCAAGAGGCAAGAGAATGATGAGTGTCTAAACAAGGGGTGAGGGAGTAACTGTCCATTGTGGATGCAGGAGTAACACAATATTGCATTAACTGGGAGCAGAAAAGGAGGTAATGAAGTAACCGAGACATGACAGGAGAGTTTCGTCTGTGCGGATAGACTGAGCAGGCCATGTCATACGGAAAGCACCTGCAAGAACTGTGCCATACTCAGCCATGGAGTCTAATGCTCAGCAAGCAGGCTGGAACGATGGACAGAGCTTCCCTTAAGGCAACCCAGAAAAGGGCTGGGGGATTTGAGAAGAAAGATGAAGAGCTCCTTCTTTCAATACTGTTGAAACTGAGCCAAAGACTAGCTCTAAACTGCTCAGAAAAATCAATCTAAGTTACCTCTGCAATTGAGGCTACTGGAAGGCAAGGCATAGAAGGAGGTAAGACTGGGAACAACAACAGGAACAGCTTACTTTATTAGAATACAATCTTCTGAAGAATATGCTGGCAATGATCGGATACATGATGGGAGGACTACCAAGAGCGTATTATGGAAGTTGATCAAATATTTCAAGAGAAGCAGGTTCAGCTATGTCAGAGTTGGGCTATGAGGGCTGGAGCAACTGGTTCTAGGCTTGAGCAAGGATCAGGGCATAAGTGACCTTGGGAGGCAAAGGACAGGAAGGGAGTCTAGGATGCAAGCAGAGAAAATTAAAATAAATAGTAAGTGTAGACAATCACTTTTGGTAGCAAAACAGAGAGAAGTGGCTTGGCTGGTGCAGTCAGTGGCATCATTTATTTTCTAGAAAGTGAGTAAGAATGAGAAAAGTAGCAAGAGTGTATATGTGGCTTAGGATGAGAAGGAAGGACACTGCGACAAGAGACTTTAGAGGACAAATGCCACCAAGAAATAACTAATCTGTCACAGGGAAGGAAAAGGAACATGCAACAGGAGGGAAAAGAAGCTTTATTTCTGGCAACTGCTCCTTGGAAGCAGACCTGAAATTGGGTACTGTGTGTTATTTATATCCCCTTCCCCAAATACATATGAACCCCAAGTCAGTGTCACAACATGACATTTCCTTTCCTTTCCCAGGCCACCAACTCACAAACACTTGTGCATATACATAACCTGACCTACATCTCGGAACACCCTTGAAGGCACTCTTGAATTTCAGTGTTTGTAGGGCTGGAGTTATCAATAGGTCAAACATCTTCAGAAATCAGTTTCTTTTACGCAGGTAATAAAACCTGGCATTTTGTGTGTGTGCCCGCATGTGCTTTACTCAACTCCAGGGAGAGGCCTGTTCAAAGGCATAAGAGCTCACACTGCAGCAAATCTAGTTCTTAAACCTGCCATGTAAAAAGGGACCTTGGCAAACCTGGCACCATCAGGAAACCACAGTCTCCAACAAAACAATAGCTGAAAATGCAAATCCTGGGGAGCAGGCTGTCAGCAGACCTAAGTTAGTGGGTCCCTTATGACCCCAAGACTCAGAAGACATGAATTCAGGTAGAAAAAAAGTTAGAAAGGTCAGACATATCAAGGCCCTGCATGTCTCCAGTTCCCCTGGCACCTGTGAATAGAGCTAAGGTGCCAAGTTCAGCACCAACTGACTTGTATTTTAAGCATTTAGCATCTTGTTGCAGACAAACAGGAGACAGAAACAGCTAATCGTCTTTCAGAACCAAGGCAACAAGGTCATTGCCTCTCCATTCACAGCAAAGAACACTAAAAGTAATGCAAAAGCAGAAGCATTTTCTTGTTCCTGATGACACACACATCTTGGAATACGCCACATCAATTTCTAAGAATCACTGAACAGCAAAAAAGGATTAGGTTTTGGGGTTTATTGCTCAGTGGTAATTAAATACTGAGACTTGATTAGTTAATCAAAGTAGTGTTTCAACTTGACTGAGCATAATAGGTTAAAGAACTTTGAGAGCTCTTCTTGTTCTTCAGTCTCTTTTAACATCAAGTTAAAAGTGCCCATCAGTCCCCAGAAATCAACCACAGCAACATAAATGTCACGATCCCTGAACATCACACCTGTGTCCTTCATTCCTGGGCTGCTGGGAGCATTAAGAGTGTTAAGGAAACTCTACATCAGTTTAGGAAAAAGAGAGGAAAAAGTCAGTGTGATTGGAAAGCTCCTATTCACATTGGCTGTAGCAACTAATTGTTGCCAGATGAGGAGAAAATAAATAAATAAAAGGGTTTAAGGGAACTGTTCAAAGAAACTGTTCGCATTAGTGTAAAAGAACCATCACAGCACTGGGGAGCAAAACGAGGCAAGAGCATATTTTCACGGTATTTCCAACAGTTATTTTAGCAACCTTGCTACTATGCTTGGCAGTGTGCAGGCTGCTCAGCTAGATGTGAGAGATGCTTTTAAAGAAGCATGAAAATAAGGTTTGATGATTCCCTGAATTCTTAAAGAGAAGTTATTTCTATTCTCTCATTTATCTTCACAGTCTTTCCGATAGAATCTACGATTTGAAAGACAGAAGAAAGTCCATATATTTGAAGAGCTTTTCTAGGTCTCCTGTTTCTAAAGACCACCCAGTTCTGCCCCTTTACTCCTCCCATCACCTTGCAGTGTCAAACTGTCCTAGACTATACAGAAAGCAACAGCAGCAAGGATCATTCTGTTGCCAGAACATGCTGGTCTTGCACAAGTAGACAGTGGGAATGTACAAAGAATTAAGAAAAAAAAAGATCCAATTACAAAAAGGATACTTCCAACTTTTTTTTTTTTTTACTATTCTTGCAGAACAGCTTATTCTTTCAGGAGCAGGAACTGCTGCTGACACAACATTTTGCATCAGCAGTTCTGCCTGTAACTTGGCTCACAAAGTTCATAAATCCCATTTTACAGGGTGCTACAACACGAAAATTGTTTGCAGTTCCCAGCAAGTAACAAAAAGGAATCATCTCTGCCATACAAAATTAATTTTTATGTTGTCATTTACATGCTCACATCTCTAATTGGTAAGGAAGACAGAACTATTGAAAGAAAGCACAGATGTGAGATACACACGTGTCTACCCAGTGCTGCGTGAGTATGCTGGGAACACTGAAAACAGTGGCTGATTTGTCATGCCCCAGTTCCAAATCTTTTATGAGCAGCCCCTTTGAAGTCAGTCCTATATCTCACACATCTGCAATACAGAGCTCTTCTACTCCATTGCTGTCTCTGCCAGATGAGCCACCCAGGGACTCTAATCCACCAACTGTACCTGGTGGGTGGCATCACAGAGCACGACACAAGCTGGAGGCAGCACAGCTGCTGAGAGATGCATCCTGCCTTGCAGACCTTGCATTTGCAGGGAGCCCCATCTTGTTGTCTCTCATCATAGCAATCTGACTGAGCCCTGTCACACAATCCATTTATTATATCTCACACATTGCAAGAGACTAAGTGGGGGAAAACAGAAAAAAAAAATAATCCCAAAACCCCAAAAAAACCCACCACCAACCAAAAAAAAAAAAAACCAACACCCAAAAAACCTCAACCAAAAAAGAAAAGCACCAGTGACAACTGGATTAGAAAGTACAGTTTGTTTTTCCCTGCACTTTCACATTTCATTTCTACACCAGTTCCACAGCCTAAAAGCCAAGGCAGACAGAAAGCCACATCACAGACCACAGGGTTAGATCTGCTACATGGGGCCTGAGCAAACCTACAGGGCAAAGTTGATCACTCATTAAACACCCTCCCACAGCCACTGCAGAAGTCAGTGACTGCAAGAGAAGGCCTGTCCCTCAACACCCATCTCCACCCACCAACCCTGGGGCAGCAGCTCTTCTTCCCAGGTCACTATACTGCAGTATCTGCAAGAGCAAGCAGGGGCTTTCAGCTGTTCAGTGCAGCAGACACCAAAAAGCACTGTGCCCAGCTCCTCGAAAGCACCCGGGCACAATGCAAACACACCAGTACCTGCAATTTCTTCAAGAGAGAATTCTCTGTAACACTGTGTAGTTTTGTGGTGCAGTTTCTTCTTTCTCAAACTTTAGCTAGGGACAAGGTCAACAAAAGTGGCCAAGTTACCCCACTGTGCCAACAGGCAGCAGAACAGGAAGGCTCCTTCCCATGGTCAGGCGGCAGAAAACCAGGATGGGCCCACCTACCCCCACCCTGTTCTCATCACTCTGTGCCAGAGACTAGTATCAATACTTTTACATCAACAGATAGCCAAAAGAAAAAAGGAAGCAAAAGCAAAAGGCTGATCAACCTGAACCCCACATACTGTCAATCAACTCAAATCAAAGCAGCTGATTTCAGTGCTCTGACCAAATGGGACCTGCATTTCAACAGCTCCATCCCAAACTCACAGGTCTTTTCGGTGTTTTTGGATTTGAGCACGTGCTTTCAGATCCTCCTCTTCTTGCAGTTGCTTGGCCACCTGCAAGTCATGTTGCACCAGACGATTACGCTGAACATTGGTTGCCAAGTGATGCTCAACTGGAAATAAACACAGACAAGAACCCTCAAATCAGCCTTCGAAACTTCACAGTATGAACAAGACAAAGCAAGTGGGAGGGTGATTCCAGGCCAGAAAGGAAGACAGTTCTTGGCAGGGAAACATCATGTAGTATCTCCAAAGGTGGGGAAGTCCTGAACTGAAATTATGCTAGCAGATTGAGATTGCCTCATTTCAGCACTGAGGGGGCTGTATATCTGTGTCTGTTACCAAAACAAGATCTGCATATCTTAATTGCATCCAGGTTTATAGGGAATGCTTTTTAGGCTTTGAATTTCATTTTCTAGCCATGAAAAATTACCCTAGAGTAATAAAGTGGGTCTGGAAGGGACCACCAGAGGCTAGTGAGGACGAGCTGAACCTAAACCACTTCTGATGGATACTTCTCTGATTAGTTCTCAAGAACCTCTAGAGGAGGAAACTCCTCTCTCTCCCAACATAATCGGTTCCAGAATCTCACTACCTTTATATTTAGCAACAGAGCAACTGAGAAATTACAGCAAGTCCTTTACCATACATGGATGCTGCTTGCAAGAAAAGATGGTTATGTGAGCTGCAGCTGAGAGCCATCCTTAATTCAGTAGTCTCAAATTCCAGCAGCAAGGGAACAACTGCAGCACAAGCTGCACACTTGACAAAGTAGCTGGAATTGAATGGTATTAGCATCTAGTACTGGGAGATAACACCCAGCAAAGCAGATTAGAGAGGGCACCACACCTGAAACAGTAATGCAAATGAAACGAGAAAGGAAGAAGAAAGGAAAGAGAAAGGAAGAAGAAAGGAAAGAGAAAGGAAGAAGAAAGGAAAGAGAAAGGAAGAAGAAAGAAAAGAGAAAGGAAGAAGAAAGAAAAGAGAAAGGAAGAAGAAAGAAAAGAGAAAGGAAAAATCACCAGTCACTTGAAGTTTCTGGCTGTACATTTTTTTCTCCTTTTTAAACCCACCTAGTATACAGCTGCCCTACCTCAAAATGTCTTAAAAGGAAGTCTCCTTTCAAAAGGCAAGTAAATAAGTAAATAAACAGACCTCTTCTGGTTGCATTTCAGGTCAGCCTATAAAACCTGAAGCTTCCAAAATTGCTAGTCATTTCTAAAAACCTTGCACAGCAACAAAACCTCAAGTGCACTCCTACATGCAGTTTTATCATAAACTGCATAAACAAACTCAGCTCTAAAGGAAAGCATAAAATTGAAACAAGAAATGCAACTCTTTCTAGGGTACAATGTGAGCTGGGCCAGAACACAGGTGTTAACAGGACAGTGAAGACAGTAAAAATAATCTGTATTCCATTAAAAAGAATAAAAATTAAATAAAGGCAGGGAGGATTTTTCTTAGCAAAACCAAAGAAAGACAGATATCTGTTGGGACAAATTTGCTTCAGCTTGTTCCAAAAATCATTGCTACTTACTTTCTTGCTCCTGTAAGTTATGAGCCAAGGTATGATCTTCCAGAACAGCGAAGTCTCGACACACTGAACAGGGAAACAATGCCAAGAGAATTAGCATCAGGAGAAAAAAAAAAAAAAATTAAAAAGAGCTGTGGATGTCAGGGGAGCACACATACATGGAGATTTCTGACACACTTTCTACCAGTCCAGATCTTACTTGTGTATCTTTCCCCCTCTTGCACTTGTGGCTATTTTTGCAGTGCTTACATCTTTGTCCCCGTTTGCATAAAAAGCCCTCTTCACTCTCCCCTCCACCTTCTTTAGTTTAAGGCCAGAATTGCTGACACCACCACTGGATCGGACCTTGTGTACAAAACCGTGTATGCCACCCAGAGTTACAATGCCCACACCAACTCTGTTAAGCTAAAACCAAGTGCAAGCGTTTGTGCTTACTACCACTTTCTTTGTCAGGTTAAAGAGTCCGAAAATAGTATTTTCTCTGCACAAAGGCACATGTACACTGCCACCTCTCCCAAGCTGAGCAGACTGAGCTCCATGACTCTCGGGGCAACGCATTTCTACCAGCTCAGGCATCATTTTACAGTTGTCTCTTGTAAGCTTCCCTGACTTTTTCAAGTACAGATGCTAGATTTGTACCTAGAACCCAGATATGGGATCAACCACAGTGTTACCGGTAGGGATAAGCACAGCTTCTTAAAAAGATGATGAAAGTGACCCAGAGACGAAATAAATGGGTAGGGGCCAAGCTCCCTTTGGCACCAGTCTGAAAGCAGCAGATTTTTGCCAATGCCTATCACTTTCGCACTTGAACTTTCAAAGGAACGCTCTGCCCACACTGTAGAAAAACACCAAGGTTTATTTTTAACTTGTTATGATAGGCAGCGGGGCAAAAAAACCACAAGTCGCATACATACTGGGACAGCGACATACACACAGCATCTGGTTCAGCCTTTTGGTGATAGGTACACATCAGCTTCTTGATGAACCAAGGACAAACTGTGATCTGTGCCCTCACAACTGCAGGATGGAGCCCCGCTCCACATATCTGCCATACACTGCGTTCCCATCTGCTTCAAGGGGTGTTTAAGGCAGGGGTACTGAAAAATTTACACTGGAGAGGTCTGTCACTTGTTTTTCCCCTCAACATGACAAGCTAGGCAGCTTAACAGGACCCAAGAGGGGAGTATCTCCCATGTGAAACGTACAGCACAAAGCAGAGAACTACAGGTTGCTTCCAAAGCTGCAGAGGGAGGTACGAACCACTGCCGCTACTCTCCACAAGCAGAGCCTCTGGGGAAGACCAAGGTTTCTCTTTAGCTGAGCACAGCAACAGCCTAGAAGTTAAAATAACCCAAAACCCCCAGAACATACAAAAACTACAGGGGGAATTTATGAGGAACCCATTTATGAAAGGGCTCAGAGTCAGAGAAGATAAAACATTTCCATCACCACAGAGGGTGGAAAATACAAGGAAATGAGAAGGCAGCCACATCTTCAGGTGCCACAGTCCCACAAACCTTCCCTCTTCTTGAATTGATGCATGTGTTCCGCTAAAGAAGCATCAAGATGTTCCTCTGCACCCAGGTATCTTCACTAAATATCTAAAAGAGTTTCTAGTTGTGTGTACTAAGAGATAGATAAAACGCTTTCCCCTTTATCGTATTCAGCAGAATTGTTGGTTGAGTCTTTCTGGATTGGAGGGTGTTTTACCGATTACAAAAGCTCCTAAGCTAGAGCAGTGTTTCAGGGAAGGAGAGTGACAATCAGCAGGGTGGAGATGAGGACAAAGATTACGGTTATATGATCCCATAGTGACTCACTTTAAGCATGTACAATTCTGGATGGTGCAATTAAAGTTTTGTTGTTGCTTTTTTTAATTGCAGCTTCTTTTTTAAAAGGAAAGAGGATACAAAACACTACATAGAACTGAAACACTTCCAGCATTTGTATATATGAAGAAAGAACACTGCCTTCAGTCACAGATCTGGAAAAGCCACAGCTGAGTTGCAGGCAGCAGTGCTATTTATTCACAGGTGACATACTCAGGGTGCTTGGTCATCATGAACACGTTTTTATGGGATAGAGCAAAGGAATCTTACCTACTGAGACTTTATTTCTGTGGTCCCTAGTACTACTTCAGCTTCATAGCACAATTGCAAAACAACCACCTTCTGCTTACAACAGGCATTATCTGGCCTGCTGGAAGGGCACATTCAACTCAGAGGCTGGAGCCCTACTACAGTTCAGAGCTCAGACATGTCAATACAGAGCCACAGTCTGCCCAAATCTAGGGTTGTGCTTTTACCACCACATATTCAAAGAAGCAGCACTTGGCTCCTGACAGTTAGAAGAAAAAAAGAGGGGGAAGTGTTATTTTTAACAGCAATAGGTCTGTGAGCAAGTCCACTGCACAGCTGCCTGAACAGCTGTACTAGCAAGTCAAGGCAGGCAGCACAGGAGCAAGGATGAACATTTCAGAGATGCATGTTTTTTGCACAAAGATAGCTGCTGTAAGAAATGCTCATGAAACTGCATCCCAGTCTTCCCAACTCCTTTCTGCACAGGCATCACACACTGCTCTGATCCCCACCGTATTTGAGCTCTGCCTCGTCGGTCATGGTGCTGCTGATCCCAGCAGACCTTTGCTCCATCCTCCCCAGAGAGGACACGTGCGTAGGAGGTTTTTTTACTCCATTCTACCCACACCCATACACTTCTCTGTTTGGGAAGAAACGTGTTGACAGAAATATGCTTGGCATACAGGCGAGAAAGTGGGAGGGCCGTGGTAGAACACTGCTGCTCTTCTCTTGACAGTCTTGCACCAGCCCGAAAAGAGCCTCATCTCCTTGAGTGAGCTTCATTCCTACAACATAGCAATGATTGTTTAACCCTTTTTAATTGATGGGCCAACCGAAACTTCCTAAAGCAAGTACATACTCCTTAAATAAAAAGGCCAATTGCATATACTGTTGTGTTGTATAGGTTGCCCTGCTTCTTCCAGCTCCTCCTACAAAGACCTACTGGAAGTAGCTCGTGGGTCTCTGAAATTAAACAAACTGGGACAAAGCAAGTGGGGACAATGCCCTGAGAAAAGCCACCAAGTTGCAGGGCCTAGATGTGAATACAAGGGCTGTGTCTTAAAACTGTGCTCATTACCCCATCAGGATCCAGTACAGAGAGAGGGAAACTGGGTGGCTATTCATGATGTACACACTGAAAGCTCCCAAATATCTGGGCTCAACGGTGCCTCCATCTCACAGAGAAGGCTGGCAGAGCAGCAGCAAGCCTTGGGTTTGCACAGTGTTTGGATTCATTCATGCACTGCTGAAGCCACCACTTGGCTGTGCATACACTCTTAAGCCACTCTTACAAACCCACGACCGGACAGCTCGAGCACACAGCCCTTGCTTTGTGCTGCTGAAGTTGCTGGCAAGGAAGACAGCACAATACAACCTTTCGTCACTGTCAGAAACTTGGCTAGTCTGGTTGGCTCTAACTCATCTGAGCACATTATTCCCAAGTCCCATCAGCCCAAGAACAATGTGCAAAGGAAGATGAGAACATCCCATTACAAACACAGCAAAGTGCTGACAGCCAGCCAGGTGGCAAGAGATAGGGCCACCTGCAACTCCCTAGCAAGCCTGGAGTTGATGGCAAGTGCAGAGCATTCCCTCAAGACAAGACCCAGCACCCATAGCACTGAGTCAAGCATGACCACAGCTGCAAGTGAGGTCAAGGAAACCAACCCTCCATCCCTGAAGACATGCATCCAACAATGCAGCAAGTACGAAATAGATGTGGACCAGCCAGGCATGGTCTGAAATGTAGCTTCACTGGTGATAGTCCTCATCCCCTGCCCAGTCTCAATGTGGCCCCAGCACGCTCATTACAAGGTATTATGCTCACTGGGTTTGTGCTGAGAAATAGTATGGCCCCAATTACAATGGAGAGACTCACCATTCCTCCTCTCCAAGAAGCCTCATATTTAAGGGGAAAGAAATCTATTTCCTTATTCCCTAACTGTATGCCTAAAAAAAACGAAAGGTAAGATTAATGTTACGCTCAGTGCTGTGAATTAACTTGACTTCCCATCTCCAGGCCCTCCTGGCTGGGAGCCATCAGACAGTCAAACAAGCAGCAGGGGTGCAATCACAGCAGCTACAGTTGGCAAGTCCAGTGAAGCGTGAAACATTAACAACAGGTTTACCATAGCCTGATTAAGCCAATCTGCCTTGGCACAGCAGGGAGCAGGTCTGGGATACATGCTTCTGGCACAGCTGTCAATAAAAGAAATGCCAGCCCAGGAATCCCAGCCACTGCCATAGCCAGGGAGGTGCCAGCAGGGGAGGACAAGGGCAGAAGCATCCTGCTCTACAGCAGTGGTGTGCTGCAAAATCCATACAGCAAGCATGAAAGAGGGAGCTCACTTGCTTGAGGGATCCTGAAGAGACTCTGCAAACTCCAAGCACAGGCCTTCTCTGCTGGTAGGAGTTCACCCCGAAAACAGGCCTTTCTAAGCATTGCTGAAGCAGCGCATCTGAGGCTTCTGCAGCACAGTTGCAAGCCTTGCCTTTATGGCCGAGATAAGGATGTCTCTAGGTATGACAACTTGGCAGAATTTCATGAAATAACCTTTTTCCTTTTTACATTCTGCCACTTGCCTCAGTAGCTTTCTCCAGCATTAGCTCAGGTCCATAGTCCAGCATTTCTAACACCAAGCTGCTTCAAAGAAAGTGGGGTAACCACAACAGAGAAGCAAAGGCAGCCTCAGATGTTGCTAGTGATATTTAGGTGTGTCACAAAGAGGTAGGTAACATCCAGGAATAGGCAGCATAAACATGCGCTGTCTCTACAAGAGGTCAAACCCCACTGGCTTCTCAAGTAAGGCTTAGAGCAAAACAGCCCCCCCACACACTTCTGCCAGAAGTCTTAGACTGTGTTTTGATATCTGCTGAAGGGCCCAAGGGCCCCCTTGGCTCACGTGGCCCATATGCTCTGCTCTGGGACACTGGCCAGTTCAATGACCCAGGGACCACACATGCATGCTCCAAGCATTTCCTTTCGGGTCTTAAAAACCATCTCTTGTTCCCCACCCCC